CTCACACTCCCTGGGCCATGGATGGCCCGCTCCTCTCCCCAAGGTGGCCACCTTGCCTCATGGCTCCTCCCCCCCCCCAACCCCCCCCATATCCCTGGTCCCAGCCCTCACTTGCCATTCCAGGGAGGAGGAACCTGCCAGCTTTTTGTCCTCCCAACCACATTTCCTCCCCTCCGGCCTCTTGCGCTCCCTGGGCTGGCCCCAAAACATGGCTATAAAATCTGCTTTATTGTTGAAAACCAAACCTCATTCCAAACACCAACAGGGATGAAAGGGTCTAGAGGCTAGGGGTGGCCCTGGAGGCCTCAGCCCCCCAGGAGCTCGTGGAGAGGGGCTGGGTCCCTGCTCACGGTGGCGCTGGGACATCCTGGGCTTGCTGAAGTCGGGCACGGGGCAGTGCTGACGTGGCTGGGGGGGCCCCCGTGAGCTGCCTGGTGCCCGGGTCTGGGGATCCAGGAGCTGGTGGAGGTGAAGCACGAGCTGGCTGGGATGGGGTGGGGGGCTCACAGGACCCTCCTCCGCGTGCTCTCGGTGCAGCGGGTCAGGATGAGGTCCTTGCTGGGCCGGGGAGGAACTGCAGGCTGAGCCCTGGGCTTCTCCTCCTCCTGCTCCTTTCTCTCAACTGCAGGTGAAGCAGATGGGTCAGAGCTCTCCACCCCCAGCACCTTCACGGGGACGTTCACAGGCTTCCTGTGCCACGGCCACCAAAGCTCCTCTCCCAGCCACACGTGGTGGTCTTCCCAGAGGTCAGGGTGCTGGGGTGAGCCCAGAAGTTCCCATCTGGGAGCTCTGCTCAGGAGGGACCCCAGCTCTGTGTCTGTGCAAGGAGCTGCTCTCCCTTGGGAAGCTCATGGATCCCACGCAGGGATTACCAGATCTCAAGTGTCTATCTCAATGTCAGCCTCTTCTTCCTGCACCACCTCTCTGAATGTGCTTTGCTGATGTTTAACAGACATGATCATGGTAACAGCAGCACAGGTGGGGTTGGGTGTGCAGAGGACAGCACAGGTCCTAAACATGGGCTGACCTTCACCAGGACCTACTGAAATGGTGGCAGCAATGCCACCACGTGTTTCCACTTCTCTGTCAGACCAGAGGCAAGATACCCCACTGAAAAGAAACACCCCCCTGCACATGCTTTGCCCATAGCAGATGGGTGGACAAGCAACATACGACCTACGTGTGTTGTCCTACTGCATCATCTCCCACCCGTGAGGGGCAGAGCTGGAGGCCATGCTGCCCTGGAGGGACAGCCAACCTCAGGGCATGAAGTGGAGGGGGTTTTGGAGAGAAGATTTGCTTCCTCCTCCCCACCCAGATCTTTCAGTGTGGCACAAGGATTCCCAGGCTCACAGCTCCAGCAACCAGCACTGGAGAGCACGGGCCACGACCACATCCCAGGCACTGAGACTTACTGACGACCTCAGCCTTGTTCTGGAACTTCTCCCTCAGGTTCCTCCTGCTCTGGATGTACTTCTTGCTGTTCCTCCTGTAGGTCTCCTGGCTGATCTGCCTCCGGCCCTGCTTGTGCATGCTCTTGGCATTCCGGATGGTGGACCTGCAGGGAGTCAGGAACAAAACCTTCAGTCTCCACGCTGGCAGCTCCCACACCACACACGTTCTCCGTGAGGATTTCCCCCCTGTGCTTCCTCCTCTGCCTCACCCAAACCAACACTCTCCAGTTTTGTCTGGGGGAAGGCAGCAGCTGGGCACCAGCCCTTGAGGGCAGGCATGGGTGAGACACAGTGTGCAGTGTATTGGAGGTGGATGGAGAGGGGCTTTGGGAGCAAATACTCAAGGGTGGAGCATGAGAGGGCTCCTTGTTGGCATTGTACACCTCCAAAGAAGAGCAATGAAGCTGGTGAAGGGCCTAGAGAACAAGTCTTATGAGGAGCAGCTGAGGGAACTGAGGCTGTTTGGTCTGAAGAAGGGGAGGCTGAGGGGAGAGCTTATTGCTGAGAGGATGTTGTAGAGAGGTGCCTCAGGGACCGACTCCAGGCAGGCAGACTGAGGCCACACTTCATCTCCACTACCAGGGCATGAGCCAGGTGGCTTCTGATGTGCACCCTATGGCATCATCCTCCTGCTCTGCTCCAGGCAAGGTGCCTGTCTGCCTTCAGCCCCTCCTTGCTCTGAACACATCCATTTCACCACTACAAAGCACTTGCCCACAGCCCCAGGCCATCCCTTTTGTCACTGGGCCCAGCCTGGTTGCCACCTCCAGCGCCACAGGGCCAGCATTCACCAGGGGGGCAAGTCAGTGTCCTTGAAACAAGCCCCCTCACCTGACCCAGGGGTCTCAGAAGGCATCACTGTGCTCACACAGGGGCAGCTGGGCCATTTTACACCATCTCACACCCAACCTGTGCTCCAGCAGAGCTGGGTGTTGAGAGGCTTTACTGCAAGGCTGCTGTGTTTTCTTCTAGGGAAGAAAAGATAGCAGCAAGCTCTGCCCTTCCTCCCAGTTTCCTTTACAGTACAATTAATGAGTTATTGCTTTTTATCTTTTTAATCAAAATAAAATCCCTTCCATTAGCTCAAATCCTCCCATCAGATTAAGCCATTTTGGCAGCCCTGATTAGTCCAATCTCTCCTTGCTCCTCAAAGATTTGGAGGCACTTAGGAAATCAGAAAAAAGGCCAATTTGAAAATGAAACAGGATTAGCCCAGAAAGGAACCTTTGCAGAAGGAGAAGGAGAAGCACTCCTGGCTGGAGGAGCAGCCAGGGCAGCAGAGATGCCAGGGTGCCCCTCTGCCCAGGGGAGCTGGGGAGCACTGAGCTGTTTTGGCCCCAGCCCTCTAGGATCTGCCTCCTGGTCTGTCTTCACCCTGCTCACATCTCCCCCAGGCAGCTCCTCGTTGCCAGGGTGAGCAAGGGACACAAGAAATCACTCTCTGGAAGAGAAGCTTCCATCCTCCTCCCCCAGCCCAGGGCTGCTCCTACCTCCTCGGGGGAGCGCTGCGGTTCCTCAGCTGCCCCTTCGTGGGGGTGCTCAGCTCCCCAGCTTTCTGCAGGTACATGGAGGGGTAATACCCCGTGGTCTCATCCTTCCTGCAGGGCAGCACAAAACAGCATCACCTGGAGCCGTGGCCATGCAGCTCCCACCTCCTGCTGCCATCCTGCTGCCACCCTTTCTCGTGCTGCTTGCAGCAAAGGGGGTTGGACTGTCCCCCCAACTTCTGTGCCTGTGGCTCTCCCCAAAAGTGGGGCTTGGGTCCCCAAAGGTGAGTAGGTAGGAGACAGAGCAATGGCTGACAGCTTTCAGGGTCTCACCAGCTCCTGTTATCTCCCAGGGGGGTTTGCTGGGCTCCTGAAGCCTCACTCAGGGCCTCCTGCCAGGCACTCAGGAAACACTCCCTGGTCCCTGGGCTGACCCCCTCCAGCCCAGCAGACCTGCAAACATCAGGAGATGTCCCCAGTGCCTCTGGCCTGGGCACAGCCTGGGGCAGGAGGCAGCAGAGATCGACCAGTCCACCCCTTCCCCCTGCCCAAATCCCCCCTGCCCATTTCTTCACAGCATCTCTCACCTGATGACCCACCAGCCATCGAGGAGCTTGTGGATGACTTCGATGGTATCACCCTCCTGGAGGCTCAGCTCATCCTCCTCCACAGCTCTGTAGCTTTTCAGGACAATGTACTGCTCCCCTGCACACAGAATGGGGATGGGGGGTTCTGTGCTGGCACCCCAGGGAGGGGGCTCAGCCCCTCCAGCCACCGAGAGAGGAGGCACCACAGCATCTACCCCACATGTGAGGCAAAACCCAGGGTGCTTCAGGTCTGGATTCAGGCTTCCCCCAGCCAGCCTTGTCAGTGCTTGTGGCTCATCCCTGCCCCTCCAGCAGCCCTCCAGGAGGGAGCTGGTGAACACCAGCAGTGGAAGCACATCTGAGGCTGCTGATAGAGCACGCTGATAACTGGGGTGGTTACAGGAGGAAGAAGGAAGTGTTGTGCTAATAGAGTCTGTTTTGAAAACCACAAAGACAAGGCCTGGAGAGCAATTCAGCATGAGTCTGCAGGATCCTCCTGCTCTGGGGGGGGTGATGCAGGGGGCTGACCATGCAACCATAGAATGGTTTGGGTGGGAAGGGACCTGTAAAGATCATCTGGTCCTCCAACCCCCTGCAGGGACAGGGACACCCCCAGCTAGAGCAGGGTGCTCGTGCCCCACCCAGCGTCCCCGGGGATGGTTCCAGGGATGGGGCAGTGACCACCTCTCTGGGCAGCCTGGGCCAGGGGCTCACCACCCTCAGTGTCAAACATTTCTTTTCTCTCTAGTCTAAACCTTGCTCTCTCAGTTTAAAACCATCCCCCCTTGTCCTGCCTCAACAGGACCTGCTCAAAAGTCCCCCCCAGCTTTCTGACAGGCCCCTGGCAGTCCTGGCAGCCCCCAGCAGGTCTCCCCAGCTGGAGCCTTCTCCTCTCAGCTGCCCCAGCCCAACTCTCTCCTGCTGGGCTCCCAGCAGAGGGGTTCCCCCCTCGGGGCATTGCTGGGGCTCCTCTGGCCCCGCTCCAGCAGGTCCCTGGCTCTGCTGTGCTGAGGACTCCAGAGCTGCCCCAGCACTGCAGGGGGGTCTCCCAGAGCTGGCAGAGGGGCAGGATCCCCTCCCTGCCCTGCTGCCCACACTGCTGGGGGGGCAGCCCAGGCTGGGGGGGCTCCTGGCCAGCTCCTCACCCCCAGCCCCCCCAGGGCCTTCTCCCCAGGGCTGCTCCAGCCCCTCACCCCCAGGCTGCTCGCAGGCCAAGGTGCACTTGGGAGCACTTCTGTCCCAGGGGGGCCACCCCTGATCACAACGTGTGCCCGTGCTGGGCTGTGCCCTGCCAGGGTTCCCAGCTCCCACAGGATGCCCAGGAGCCCAGCTCCAGCCAGCCCCTGGCTTTGAGCCCTCAGCCCCATCCCCAACTCCCTCCTCTGCTACCCAAACCACCAGCAGACCCCACACGGACTCCCCCCAACCACCACCAGCAAACCATGGCACAGGGGCAGCCCTTGAGGCTGTTACTAGCTGTAGAGACAAAAGCTTGCATGAAAACCCACCAAATACTCACAGCTCTGCCCTGAGTCTCGAGCACGGTGCTTTGCAGCTGTTGGGAGCAGAAATACAGTCATTTAAATTTGGGTTCTTCTTTCTTTTTTTTTAAGAGGGGACTTCCCTGTTTGCAAGGCAATTACCCAACCAGCGATACTAAAAATGATACTCCCCGGGCTGTTTGTTAATTGTAATTCTGTTAATGGTCAGATTGCTGCTTCTTAGGCTTTGTCACGGAGGCTAATTTCATAATTACAATTGTTTGTGCTAAATTTAAAAGTGCTTTACAGCCAGTGCATTACTGGAAGCCACATAATTCACATGCTTCTTCCTGTTTCTTCACTCTTCATCTTGTGATGTGAGCAACGAAAGGGAGCCTGTAGATCTCACTGCTGGTGCTGGGTTAGCTCAGTGAGATGGACCCTGTGTGTGATGATCCACCACTTAGTGTCTCCACCAACTGTCCCGTACTTACTACGTGTCAAAAAGCATAATTTTAGAAAATAAAATTCTTGGAGGAGTAGTGATGCCTCTGAGGAAGAAGCTGAGTTCATGAGGTGATTCATGTTTTGGGAAACAAGGCTGGCATCTGAACTCAGGACCTGGTTTCTGAGAGATGGAGAACTCCCAGACCAGGAGCTGGCAGCAGTGCTTTGCAGAATGCCCCCTGCTCTGGGGTGAGGGCAGCAGATGTGGGACTTGAAGGGGCAGATTTCCATCAAGGTTACTGAAGTGCTGGAGGTTTGGAGTCTCTCAGGTGACTGATTATATCCTCTTGCCATGGGGCTCCACCCAAAACTGGTACCAGAACCTGCTAGGAAGTAAAAGCTGAAGACAGGAAGGCCACTCTGACCTTTTGAACAGAATTAAGTTTTGATTTTTTTGGTAGTTTAAATTTAAGCCTACTTCAAGGCCAAGCCAAGGGAGGTTTTGCTTACATCACTGATGGCAAAGTGCTGTGTGAGCTGCTGCAAAATGACAGAATGAGTCTGCCCACTTCCCTGGCAGCCTGTCACTGAGAGGACAGGTACAAAAAGAAAGGAAGGAGAAAGGCTTTAAGTTTTCTATGTGTGAAACTTTAAATCCCAAGGGAAAAACACTGGCCAGCAGCTGCACGACAGAGGTGCTGGATCTCATCTGACATCTAGTGGTTACTGCTGTGAGAAAAGCTGGGGTGCAGAACCCGAGGAACTCCAGACTCCACCACGACCCCCTGATCCTACACTGCTTGGGTCCAAAATTCCTGTTTAAGAGAAAGGAACCAACCCAAGGCACAGGGAGGGCCTTCAAAGGTCATGAAAACATGGACAGTAAACAGTTGCCTGCAGCTTCATCACCACAAAGCTGCTCTGCTGGACCAAAAAATACCCAGAGCTCTGTTAAGTTGTTGCAATTTTCTTTATTTATCAGTACAGTCAAGTTTTTTTAGGGCATGATCACTCCATACCCAAAGAGTGACACACCTCATGTGGTACTAGTTTGGAAATTGGTGAGATTCTCATACAAAGTCAACATCTTAAAGGTCTTCTACCTGTTAGGACTATATAGATAGATAATATTTAAATATAAATTTGATATTTGGAAAGTATAAATATTGGTGCAATTATTTTGTCAGTGTAATTTCTTTCTATTGGACAGAACTCAAAATGCCCGAGACCAAAACAAGAGCCCAGCGCTGAGCACCAACGCACCCACCGGTGTTACTGCAAGCTTGGCAGCAGGATGGACACAGCACACACCACCCCCCAAAATCCCAGCATCACGTGAGGACTCCAGTCCTTCCAGTGAAAGCAGTGCAGCAGTTTTCACTTCAGTTTTAAGCTCCCACCCACAGGAGGATGCAGGATGCCCACGCTCTGCTCTTACACGCTCGCTCCTTTTCAGTTCTTTTGCCACGATGCCTCGCCCTCATTTTGGGAGCACCAACATCTCCAGCAGCGATGCGGCGCCTTGCTGGGCAGGCAGCTGAGCAGAAAGAGCCTTCTGAAGGTAGCTGTGAGTGGATGGACCATCTGCTTTTCAAAAGGGGAAGCTGAGAGGCAGCCGAAAACCCGGGGAAAGCTGCGTGGACTCATTTCCCCATTCCAAACACTTCCAGCAGCCACTGCCCCGCTAACGACCCGTCTCTGGAGGTGGTGAACTGGTCACATCACCAGCAGTGAAATGGGGCAGGAGCTGTGATCTGGGCCAGCACCTACACAGGTAACTGGGGGGCTCCTTCCACGTGTGCCCCCCTGCGTCACTCACTGCTGGTCCCCAGCTGGAGGGTGCAACCAGGCTGGGCACTGCCAGCATGACCCAGCATGGAGCTGACCCTCCTCCTACTGCCATCGACAGCACAGTCTGAGTGTTTCACTGGCAGCACACGAGCCCATGTCCCCCACTGCTTCCCTGCCTCTGGAATGATGCAGCACGTGCTCCCTGAATTCATCTACTGAACGTCAGGTCGTTCCCAGGTTGTACCCAATTGAATTTAAGGCTTCAAAAATTTTCCTTGTAGAACCCTCCACCCAGAGCTGGATTTCTGTCTTACAGGCATGACTGGAATTCACTTGCTTGGCTGGAAGGAGTAACAATGCTCTGCATGAACAGCAGCAACCAACCTGCCTGCAGCTACTGCTAGAACTTGGTTTGCTGTCCAGGATGTAAACATACAGTGCAGGGACACTCATGAAAACCATCAGAAAGGTCTTCATTTCTGAACAGGGAATAAGGTTTACCATTTGTGCATAACACAGTCATCCCAAACTCATGCCAATAAAAGAGAAACCTTTACAATAATCTGCATCTCCTCTCTAGAGATTATCACATAGCCAGAACTTGACATCTCTTACAGGGTGTGAAACGTAAAAAAACCCCACATCCATGAGCCTCTTACATGACGTGGGGTGTAACCAGGACTACAGGGCACTTAGCTTTTGGGATGGCAGGACTTACAACACCTTGTAGCACGTGTCCATGACTAGTTCTAGATGGAGAAGGGCAAAGGGCATCCCCCACAGCCTGCTGGAGAAACCCTCTCACACAGGTCCACGCCAGTTCTGCCTGCGTCAGGACTGCAAGACCAGACCCATCAGACATAAACCAGGTGATATGCTGGTAAAACATCCATTTACTACTTGGAATTAACAGAGCAAGCTGGGTTTGATTTAAACTGGTTCCTAAGCCACACTGACCATTTCACAGCCCGTCTCATTAACGTGTACTAACGGTCAAGTGAACCAGTTTATCTTTTATTTATGAAAACCTTATGGATTGTGAGAGATATCACAGGAAAAATGAGTTCAAATATACAGATACTGTTGTCCAATCAACCATGAAAGGAGTAAGAACCAAAAATTTGTGACTTCCCCCTCCCCCTTGAAGTAAAACTAACAAACTGAACTACTTGGAGGAGTTTTTCTTCATTACAAAAGCTGAGATGCATTTGGGTGTAGTGAAATTCAGCTGCCCTGGGAAATGCAGCCAGCCTCTGTTTAGTCCCTGTTGATTTTAATCCCTGTCATTCCCTCAGCATTGCTGCAGCAAGTCCAGTCCTTATAATATATTCCAAAGCAAAACCAGCCACTCCAAATTCACAGTCACTCTTTGCTTTAAGTCAATTCACAGAACTGCTGAAAAAGTAGACATTTCTATCTAAAAGTACAAAAAGGGATTGTATAGAAGGTACTTCTCTTTTACAGTTATATTACACAGCTCCAGACAGTCCTGGCAGGCTCTTCTCAGAACAGGATGCTTCTGACTAGATAAGAAAAATGACACAAGTGAGTTAGTTTCATTGCAGCTCTGTATCTTCAGAAAGCACACAGAAGCTGAACACTGCTCTCAGTGAATGTGAGATTAAATGTGTGCTTGAGCAGCCTCTAAGAATTTAGATCAAAGATTTGCTGGAGTATAAATTCAGTGGATAGCCTAAAGCATCTAAAAATCCAAACCACTGCAGCACCAAATTGTGCAGTCATTGCTCAGACAAAATTTCTGTGACCTTTAATGGGCCAGGGAGATGGCTTTTTATGCCTCTGCTGGGCAAAGTGCTTCCCATGACAATAAAATGGGTGGGTTTAGGTTTTCAGTCTATTTTCTCCTGCCACGTTCAGTTTTATGACAAGTATTTCCAAAGCAGACGTCACCAGTTTGTCAGGAAGGTGACTGCTGTACTTGGAGCTCCCAGGGCACAGACAGCTCCTGTGCTGGTACCTCTGTCTCTGAGGTACCTCCTTCTACCAAATCCTTTCTGGATTTGTCCCTTCTGTCCCTCACCCCGATGCCACCAGCAGCCAGGCACGCCTGTGCCAGACACCAGGCTGCATGGACAGAGGGCATGGCCAAGGCTGTCCTCCTTTCCAAGAAGGTGGATGGAAACCCACAGGTCCAGGCTGCCCCAGCCACTCCTGCAGGTGAGGGACAAACCCACATTGTCACTCTCAGCTGCTCTGGCTGGCAGAGGGGAAGCACCAGAGCTTGGGTTTGCTGCCTGTGCCCTGAGACCTGGAACAGTACACAGATGTTTTCTTCTCCAAGGTGAATATTGTGGTTTTCTCTCTACAGCTACAGAGGTTACAGCTCAAGCACACTGAATAAATGCATCTGACTTTCTGCCACAGAATCATTAAGGTTGGAAAAGATCTCTAAGATCATCAAGTCCAACCATCCACAACCACTAAACCACATCCTGGAGTGCCACACCCACATGTTTTTTGAAGCCCTCCAGGGATGGGGACTCCAGCACCTCCCTGGGCAGCCTGTTCCAGTGCCTCACCACTCTCTCAGGGAAGAAATTCTTCCTAATATCCAAGCTAAACATCCCTTGGTGCAACTTCAGCCCATTTCCTCTCATCCTGTCACCTGGGAGAAGAGACCAACCCCCACCTCACTCCAACCTCTTATCAGAGTTGTAGAGCACAATAAGATCTTCCTTCAAGAGGAGGGTTTGATATCAATCAAATCAAATTGCTAAAATGTCAAGCACTACACAATGAGGAAAAAATCTGGACTACAATCAAAAAACTGAAATGGCAAAAAGTTCTCCAGGGCTCTGAGAGCTTAAAATTGTAATTTTGTCTGAATGAAGCACAGAGGCTCACAACCTTGAGTCAGCTTTGGGGTTATGTGATGGCATTGCCAGTGCTATTCTCCACCTCCATCCAAATGTCATATTAGGAATGAGTGGGGTTAAAAAATAGTGTAAGGGAAAGATTTGGACATTTTTGCATTGTAAATTGAACTAAGCTCTTCCTAAAGTGGACAGAAAAAAACCACCCAACTTTTAAAGGTAGTTGGTTTGTCATCACAAAGGCTTTACATTGTATTTGGATAAGGTGGTGAAACAGCCTACATTTTATAGGTGAGGACTGTGACAAATAAAATCATCCAAAAATAAGGGACTGGCACCTTCTGACATCCAGTCCTCTATCAGTCCTCTTCTCCCCACCCAAAAATATTATTCCTTGACAAGTGTCAACATCAAGAAACACCAAATTATTTTACCCAGCACTGATGAGTTCTACCACGTTGGGTCTGGTTCTTGCTTTATTTGAGCATTTTCTCCTTTTTCTGTAGTATCTGTTGAAAAAGCAGTTAATGAATGAAGAAAAAAGGGAACTGCCCAACCAAGGTGACTGAGTAAAAAATTATGAATGTATAAAAAGCATTAATTTATCCTTTTAAACTATTAATAAAATAGATCAATAAAAACATATTCACAACAATCTGATTCTGTGGAAATCACCACATTCACTTCAATGTAAAGCAACCTGGGGTCTTAGAGACACTAGTTTTTAAGGAATACAACTAAAAATTGATATTAGAAGTGTATGAAACTAAAAAAGCTGTTTATGTAGCTGAAATATTGGGCTGGAAAAGTGCTTAATCCAAAAAGGAATACAACTAAAAATTGATATTAGAACTGTTTATGTAGCTGAAATACTCACTGGGCTGGAAAGGTGCTTAATCCAAAATGGAAACAACACATAACTGACCTAGCTGGAGATGTCCCTGCTTGCTGCAGGGGGGGCTGGACTAGATGGCCTTTGAAGGCCCCTTCCAACCCAAACTTTCTATGATAATCAGTGAAAAAATGGCCATAAATCACTGTATTTGGGTCTGCAGCCCACTCTTGAGTCCTCCTCCCTCCTCTTTGTCCATCCCCAGCTCCATCCCTTGATCCAAGCACTGGATGTGCAACGCTGGATGAAGCTTCTCCAACACACAGCTCAGTCCCCAGCTCAGGGCTTCACACACCTCAGAGCCTCAGCCACCACTTCAGGTTTGTTAAGATGCTGCCTTCCAAAGCTGGTTACCAACATCCAATCCTACCTGTGCTCAAGTTGTGCCTTCTGAGTTAGTGATTAAATTAACAAACTCCTGTTTTCACAGCACTGTTTTTAATGTTTTTTTCCTACCTCTTCTCATCTAGATACAGACTGCCACATTATTGTACTTCAATCTGTCCAAAACAAATCTTGACCCTAACTTATTTTTCTTGTTCAGTGCACAGTATCACATAGGAAGGCATTATCATATGCATAAAACAAGAGAGAAAGAAACTTTATCTTGTTGGCTAAAGCATCCATCATCTTTTGATACAATTCTTTTCATTTCCAGGAGACTTCATTACAAAAGCTTTGCTTTTCCCTTCTTCACAGAGATGCTTGGAGGGAAATCAAAGAAATCTTGTGCCTGTATAGCACGGTCTATATGACCCAGAGCTTGATTTTGTTCTTTCTATAAACAGAGAATATGATGTTTGAAGGAAACTGGTCTTTCACTGCTGTTGTTTGGAAGGTTTGGGGCTAGAATAATTCATCACTACAAAGCCAAGCCGTTTCTCCACGGGATCATTTTGTACCTCTCAGCCTAGTTCTGAAGTGACTTTGAGGGGTTTTTAGCAGTTGCATTCCTCTTCTCAAGATGTTTCCTCTGGTTACTGGGTCTGGATCCAGTTTTGGATGACAAAGTCAAACCCATGCTTGTCTGTTTCTTCAAACCCATCACTTCAAAGGCCCACTGCTAGATTTCCTCCACATGAAGGTGTTGAGGAGTAACTGTCTCTCTCCTCCAACATCTGACAGTTTCACTGACATCACATAGTTTTAGCACTATAAAGACATCTGATGTTCCAGCTTTCAGCAGCTGTGAGCTTAAAATCTGCAGCTCAGCTCTTCTGTGACTGTAATATTTGCTTTCCTGACAGCTGCAACAGGTTTATCTAGACTCCAAGAAAGACCTGCTCATAATACTTGGAGTGAACCTGTGGCTGAGCTCACCACTAGCTCTGGTTGAGCATGCTGCTTGTCTCAGGGTTGAGGGAAGCTGAAGCAATGGAGACTGGGAGGGGCACTTCCATGGAAAAGGCCACAGAAGAGGAGTGCTGAGACTTGCTCTCTTCTCTTTTGGGGGAACCCAAGCAGGATTAGGGAAGGAACTCAAGTTGAGACTTCTAAGTGCTGACAAATGCTGATGCACAGCAGCCTCCACCCCAGTGATGTTGGCTGTGTTGCTGTCAAGCTGCTACTGACACATCAGAGAGCCCCTCTCAGACTACCTGGCGTGCAGGCAGCACCCCAAAAACTGCCACAGCACCTTGGATCCTGCACTGGAGGCAGCCACAGCCACCCAGGGCCACACTGACAAGCTGGGGCTACAGCAGAGGCAGCACCAAAGCTGCCAGCAGACACCAGCATCCTAATTCTTGGGTCAATTCAGGATTCCTAATGCCCCAAGACCACATCCAAAAGCACAGGGTGGGTCAAAGACCTACAGGCTCCCTGGTCTCACATGTGCCAACATCTGAGAAAGATACAACTCAAGTACATTCTTGGACAACAAGAAAGCTGGATCTTTTTCAGAGCTTAAGTTCTGGAAGAGCAACAAAACTCCCCTCCCCAGCACAGTATATCCAGGCACTCCAGTTTCCTGAGGCTGGCAATCACTCACTGGCATCAGTGGTGGAATCTACTGCCCTGAATAATGAGATGCATCACTGGGGACATGAGCTATCACCCTGAGCCTATCTACAGTCATGACTCACCACCATAGAGCAATTCCTAAAACTCCTCTGTAAAATCATTTGAATAACAACTTCTGCCACGGGGTATTTCTCATATGATGCAGCATGATATTAATATAGATGATAAAACATCCTGGGAACCAATAAAAGCCCCTTTTTTTTCTTTTGATTGACCCGTCTCCTTTAAAAGAAGATTAACTTTGTTTAAAATGACTTAAAAATATTTGTTGATAATAACTGAAACTTACCTCCTACAGGTACTTCCATTTGGCTTGGTTCAGCTGGCTCTTAAATGAAAAACACAGTCAAATGAATATGGACATAGTTTCAACAATATGAATCAGACAAATATCATAGAAAAATTAGGGAAATTATGTTTTCCCTGAAAAAAGGTGCTTAATTTTTTCTCTTATGATCAGACTCAAATATCTTTGAGATAAATGTGTGTGGCTTTCTCTAGAGTCTGCAGCAAAATATAAGAAATGGCCAAACATTTATTGCCTTACACTACTTTAACCTTTCTCTCATGAGTATGGTTCACTGTGGTGGACACATACCCAGCTCCTAGCAGAACATAACCTGCACAGAATATACCAAATTTGGATCAGCTTTATTCAAACTGCTTAAATATAAAACTGTATTAAAAAAAGAAGTAATCATTTCTAGTTATTGTCTTCAATGGAAAGTATGTGTATTTTGGGGGAGTGGGATTTCTTTTACCTGTGGATTATAGATGGACAGTTGCTGGGGAACCCATTTAACCTTTTTATTACTGAAGGTGAGTTAAAATCAGCTACATTAAGTTCACTCTCCATCAGCAGCTGTTTGCCTCCCTCCCATCCCCTCCAGAGGAGACAGTAGTTTCCTTTATAATTATTTCCACCATTCAAGTTTCCCTTACTCTTAAAATGTTTATTGAACATTTTCTCCTAGTTTCCCAGTTTCTTTGAGTGCTCAATCAATCACAGAAGTCTTTCCCACATTAGCTTGAGATATAAGTTTTTAAAGGGTCTGTAAGCATTTAGAAACTATACTGGGTCAGAAGGAAGTTGCTCAACTACATTTCTTTCAGCTACTTGTAACATAAAGCCAAGTTCTTCATTTGGACTAAGACAAGTGGTGTGGGTGCAGCCCAGGCAGTCTAGCAGGGCTCTCAGAGCTGTGCAGAACTCCATCAAGACCCCATTCTAGGCTCTCAGATGTTACACAGGCAAACTTCACTTGGCTGAACATCCATCTGGCACAGACACCCACATTTGAGTTAAGCAGACATCAATAAATGGATCCTGAATTGCCTTTATATATTGCCCCTACTAATCTTTCTTTTCAGCTCACTCATCACCTGCAAAAATCAAATCAGGGAATACACCAGTGACACAGCTTCAAAGAAGTAATGGCTCTTTCTATTAACTTGTTAATGTTTAATAGCTATAAAAGTCACCATCACACACCCATCTCTCAAAATAAAATGGCTCATCATGAGCAGCATGTACCCAGGACATGACTACTAATAACATCTGCCAGTAAGATGGAGAACTTCACAGCCTGCCCCCCCTGGAAAGACATGCATCATGCTCTGCATCACCTGGTGGTGCTGCTGCTGCTGGTGCTGCTGCTTCAGCTTTTTCCATCAGCTCTAAGATCAGACACAATCACTGTTTAGCTTCACAATGACAATGGTCCACACGTAACACAAGGGCAACCTGACTCCTGCAACCTGCAAACCCTGAAACTTGTTGCATGAACAGGTTACTAACACTTGTGATGGGGCTGCAGCTCAGTAGCTGTTGTTACAGGAAAAAAAAACCATTCCCTATCTTGCCTGCAAGCACCACAAATTTCCTTTTAAGTTCCCACGTGTTCTTTAAGAGAATGAAGCATTGTACCTATAGGCAGCAGGGGCTCAGAGCCTTTAAATCATTCACCTACCAATACCAGAGCATTTGATCATAATTAGAGGATATGAATAATACACACAGCCCACATACTCAATGACCAACCTGCTCCTCCAGTGATGGAAGGTGACCAAATGTGTGTTGTTCTTGCTCAGCACCCTAGCTGGCCTCGATGCCAACACGTGCTGACAAGCTGAGCACAAGAGTTTAACAGATTCTTTCACTTCCAGTCCAGTTCTCTGGAAATGCTATCACACACTCACCTGCCTAGGAAGGTTTTCTTTTACAAATGGGTCTCTTTCCCACCTAAAAAGGTGTGCCTAGGACTGGTGAGCAGGTTGGTGTGAGTTACTAGCTGTAGTATCTTCCTGAGAATGCTTCACCCTTGCAGTTCATAGATCTCAGCATGTTACTGGAATTTACTGGTGGCTGGATGCAAATGAATGAATGCTGGGGCACTAAGGCTTGGGCTGGGTAAGGCCAAGTTAATGACACTAAGTTATTTGGCCTCTGAATCTCTAATCTGACCTTGGCTCAGAAAGAACATAACCCAAGGGACACTGTAATGACAGTGCTTTGGAGGATTTTCCCTTCAATAGCATCTAGAAAACCAGGTCACAGTTATTTCAGGCAACTGAAAATACTGAGATGACTCCCCCCACCCTCAAAACAATTTCATTAACGCATCCAGATTGGCCACAGCACTTCAGCTAATTACATTCTGCCTCTCTAAACTGTTACAGTTTCAGCAGAATGCAGAATTTTCCATGGGAACACAGTTGTGCAGCTACTGGAAAGTTCTTTCTTGTTAACTGCTACTGCAATGGACTTAAACCTAAAATGCAGGCACTCCTATGTAACCCTGTTGTTCAGTCAGGGTCCTAAATCTTTTGGGGAGTCTGCAGCTGAAAAATACAAAAATCAGCATCTTGCATTTTCATATCAAAGTTAATACTACTCTTATACTGACCTGTGAATTTATCACACTGCTCACAAGTTAACTCTATGTACATGTTTGGTCAGGAAACCTTTACAAAGACACAGGCAAGAGCTGCACACAGAATGTAACCACTGTGGAAACTCTGCCACTAAGTCAAAATGCAGAAAATGAATCCTGGTAAGTTACAAAAATTAATTTGCCATCATTGTCTCATAAATACTTACGACTGTTAATCACAAGTCCTGGAAATGGTCTGTAAAAACAAAACAAAGCAATTTCACTGATTCTAACCCATATTGTATGAGGTCTCCCTCCCCTGGCAACCTCACTTAACCTTTTGTAACAGAGATCATGCTGAAAAATGAACAGAAATTCAGAGAGTACAGAAGGAACCATTGTAGCAGCTTTTAGACTCCTGTGAAGCAGACTATGATTTGAACAGTTACATAAACTGCTAAATCTTTATTTTCAATTCCTGAACTCCTCCTTAGTACGATTCCAAAGTTTCATCTGTTCTGCTTCATGCACACAAATATTCTTTGTATATAGAGGTGTGTGTATATGTCTATGGAAATACACACACATAAATAAAATTCACTTTTTTGAATTGGACAAGATGGCATTATAAAATATT